TCACCTTATTGCCATGAAGGCTTAAAATAGTCTTAGAAAGACAGTGACATAAAAACTCCTGTTTTTCAAAGATTTATGAAAAGGACAGTGGTCTTTCTTCATTCCCCTACTTAAAGAAATGGCCAAAAGAGAAAGCAACTACATGAATCATAAGTACCCTCCAAGACTGATTTTTGCTTAGAATTTCTCCCTGAGAATATTACTATAAGTGCTGCAGACCTGGGACGGGATCTGCAAAAGTGGGGCAGTGTTTTGGCTCTGTACAGATCTGCTGCATACCTCAGCCTTCCCCAACCAGGGGATTTTCAGATACCTTGGGTGACCATTCCAACCAGTCCCAGCCAGCATGAAAGGCACAAAGTTGGCAAAGCCTGGTGTTTGATTGATGCTGTGCTTCCAGGTTGCCGCCAGAGGGCAGTATGCTGTTAAGATGGATGCCTAGTTCCAGTTCCCCTTTCAAACTTCAGGTGTTTGTAAGAGCTGGTATCCAATTAAAGATTTTAGGATACCTGGCATTAAACTTACAGCCCCCTCCCCACTTTACTTTTGCCAATCATTCTGGGAACAGTTCATGGCACCCTTAACAAACCGCAGTGCCCAGGCTTCTTCGGGGAAAGTAAAGATAAAGATAAAGGGACCCCTGACCATTAGGTCCAGTCGTGACCAACTCTGGGGTTGTGGTGCTCATCTTGCTTTACTGGCCGAGGGAGCCGGCGTACAGCTTCCGGGTCATGTGGCCAACATGACTAAGCCACTTCTGGCGAACCAGAGCAGCACACGGAAACGTTGTTTACCTTCCCGCCGGAGCGTACCTATTTATCTACTTGTACTTTGATGTGCTTTCGAACTGCTAGGTTGGCAGGAGCAGGGACCGAACAACGGGAGCTCACCCCGTCGCGGGGATTCGAACTGCCGACCTTCTGATCGACAAGTCCTAGGCTCTGTGCTTTAACCCACAGCGCCAGGGAAAGTAAAATGCTTTAAATTTATGATGTGTACACAGCCCATGCAGCTCTCCCTGACCCTGCTAGATTTGAATGCAGCGGTGACTCTCCTCCGGTCTATAGATTTCTACCTTTCTTCTCCATTCTCACAGCACAAAAATAAAATAATAATCATTCATTTCCCTGTGCGAGGTGTGTGAAATTTCAATTAGAAATGGATCGGATGGGTGAGTGGAAGGTGAATGCAGTCATTCAGGGTCTGGATAGTTCACTTCCTTATCAAGAAGGGTTATTATCAGCAATTAAACTGACATCTTCATATTGCCACTTGATTTGATAATGATGCAATTATCGTGGCTTTTAACAAGATTAAATTGCTAATTGGTTTGATTAAGTGCAAATCTCTGAGCTGAGCGACGCATCTCTTCACCAACAAAGCTTGGCAGGGACTAAAAATGTTCCTGGAGGAGAAGCTTGTCTGGGTGTCAGCCTGTCTAGTGAGCATTTCCTTAGAGAGATCCTGGGGCACAGCGCCATGGTCCAAAATCCCATCTCCCCGCATTCAGCGCCAGCCGTCTTCCTTTCCCTTTATTCCAGATGCTTCCTGCAGCGAAGAAGAAGAAGAAGAAGAAGAAGAAGAAGAAGAAGAAGAAGAGGAGGAGGAGGAGGAGGAGGAGGAGGAGGAGGAGGAGGAGGAGGAGTTTGGATCTGATATCCCGCTTTATCACTACCCGAAGGAATCTCAAAGTGGCTAACATTCTCCTTTCCCTTCCTCCCCCACAACAAACACTCTGTGAGGTGAGTGGGGCTGAGAGACTTCAGAGACATGTGACTGGCCCAAGGTCACCCAGCAGCTGCATGTGGAGGAGCGGAGACGCGAACCCAGTTCACCAGATTACGAGTCTACCGCTCTTATCCACTACACCACACTGCCTCTCAGAAGCCGCACTTTGGTTTCCGAATGTTTTGGAAGTCGAATGGACTTCTGGAACGTATTCCGTTCAACTTCCAAGGTACGACTGTAAATGCCAGTCATGTAGAACTGCACCCTAAATTAAGGTTACCAGATTTTTTTCAGTGAATCCGGAGACACTTTAAATACATATATACTACACATTCAGGACATTGTTGCTGCAGCGATGGCGGTGGCAGAGGAGTGGCCGCTGCCTTGACCTCAACCACCACATTTCCCCTTCCTCCGAGGCTTATATCTCCTTTCTCCATGAGCCTGGGAAGCTCCTGAGTTGCTGGTTCTTCAGTGGTGGTGGAGGTGGAGGTGGGGAAGTGGTGCGTGGTGGGTCAGGCATGGAGGGCGGAGAAGGAGGGCCAAGAGCAGTTGTGGCGGCGAGGCTCGGACTGCGCAATGCCTCCCTTCCCATCGGAGCAGCCCCAATCCCATTCCTACTTGCGTGCAAGCAGGAGGGCGTGGGGATCCCTCAGCTGGGAAGGGAGGCTTCCCATTGCCTAACTGAGAGATCCCTGCCCCCTCCTGCTTGCACCCAAGCTCTGATAGGCAGCATGAAGCCTCCCTTCACAGCTTAGTTGCTGGGTTCAGGGAAGATGGAGGCAGCCCGGAAGCTGCATCTTATTTTTTTATATATATAAGATATTTATTAGGGTTTTTAAAACATTACAATAAAAAATGAAAAAGAAAAAAAAACAAAATAAAAATGATTAAAAACACTCAGATTTTCTTTTGCTTATTTTTCCTTAGCTTGTTTCGCGGACCTCCCCATACCTCCCTTTTTTGTATTCCAGTTCAGTTTGTTGGTTCAGCAAATCCTTACCCTCTTTATTTATCCTAATCTTTGGTCTTAAAATAGAAACTTTAGATTTTTATCTCTTAACAACCCATTTTTCATATTCCCTTAAAGCATTACAGCTGGAAACCACTTAATTTCTATCCAACATCGTTCTAACATTCATTAATTTTACAATATTTCTGTAGATAATCTTTGAACTTCTTCCAATCTTCTTCCACCGACTCTTCTCCCTGGTCTCAGATTCTGCCAGTCATTTCTGCCAATTCCATATAGTCCATCAGCTTCATCTGCCATTCTTTCAGAGTGGGTAAATCTTGTGTCTTCCAATACTTCGCGATGAGTATTCTTGCTGCTGTTGTGGCATACATAAAAAAAGTTCTATCCTTTTTTGGCACCAATTGGCCGACAATGCCCAGAAGAAAGGCCTCTGGTTTCTTCAAGAAGGTATATTTAAATACCTTTTTCAGTTCATTATATATCATTTCCCAGAAAGCCTTAATCCTTGGGCATGTCCACCAAAGGTGAAAAAATGTGCCTGCAGTATCTTTACATTTCCAACATTTATTATTGGGCAAATGAAGCTGCATCTTAGAGCCCCTGCACCACCATCATATGGGGACTTCCGAGCAGCTCCTGAAGCCAGCCAGAGCCAACTGCTCCGGGCTGCTGAGACTGCCGCTGCTGCATTTCCCAGGGACATTAGATGAAATCCGGGGACATACCGGGGATGGAATTTGTCCGGGGACTTATTCGCAAATCCGGGGACTGTCCCCAAGAAACGGGGACATCTGGTAACCCTACCCTAAATGCTTATGTTGAAGTACTGTAGTGTAGTGGTGGAACAAATGAGGAGGGGGAGAACCATGGCTTCCACCTTGAGCTCCTTTGAAGAAAAGGTGGCATATAAATTCAATAAATAAATCAGGTGGAGTAACACCTGTCAGGCTTCAGGGAATCAGCTTCCTCCCACCACCCCCACCCCCCGGTGGCAGTAGATAAGCAGAACAAAGGAAAGGGAGTCTTCTTACCAGTTAGAAACTTTAATAATCACAGTGAGAGAACAAAGAACACATCTCCTAGAAATGGCGGTGCTCCCAATTAAGGATAATAATAATAATAATTTATTATTTATGCCCCGCCCATCGGGCTGAGTTTCCCCAGCCACTCTGGGCGGCTCCCAATCAAGTATTAAAAACAGCACAACGTTACATATTAAAAACTTCCCTAAACAGGGCTGCCTTCAGATGTCTTTTAAAGATAGGATAGCTGCTTATTTCCTTCACATCTGAAGGGAGGGCATTCCACAGGGCGGGCGCCACTACCGAGAAGGCCCTCTGTCTGGTTCCCTGTAACCTCACTTCTCTCAATGAGGGAATCGCCAGAAGGCCCTCAGCACTGGATCTCAGTGTCCAGGCTGAACGATGGGGGTGGAGACGCTCCTTCAGGTATACAGGACCGAGGCCGTTTAGGGCTTTAAAGGTCAGCACCAACACTTTGAATCGTGCTCGGAAACGTACTGGGAGCCAATGCAGATCTCTCAGAACCGGTGTTATGTGGTCCCGGCGGCCACTCCCAGTCACCAGTCTAGCTGCCGCATTCTGGATTAATTGCAGTTTCCGGGTCACCTTCAAAGGTAGCCCCACATAGAGCGTGTTGCAGTAGTCCAAGCGGGAGGTAACTAGAGCATGCACCACTCTGGCGAGACAGTCCGCGGGCAGGTAGGGTCTTAGCCTGCGTACCAGGTGGAGTTGGTAGACAGCTGCCCTGGATACAGAATTGACCTGCGCCTCCATGGACAGCTGTGAGTCCAAAATGACTCCCAGGCTGCGCACCTGGTCCTTCAGGGGCACAGTTACTCCATTCAGGACCAGGGAATCCACCCCCTTACGTCCCTATTAATCTAGGTCATTTCCACGTCTTGTAACCTGAGCCTGTCCTGTCTGTGCTTTGTGTGCTTTCTCTTCTGCCACTTTCTCAGCTCTTCTTGACCTTGGGGGGAGTGGAGGAATGCTTTCCAGAGACAGTGAATCTGTTAACCCTCTCTCTCCCAGTGTTTCTTCTTCTCCTAGCTGTTCCCCATCTAGTATTTCCCAGCTCCTGCCTTCTGAACTATGCCCCTCTGCAAACCACTGTTCCAAATCTATACTGTCCTCCTGCTCCTGGGAAGATTCAGGATCCGGGTCAGGAGCAGAGGGAGGGGGAGGCTCCCACCATTCCTCCTCAGTGCACCCCTCCTCAGCACGGTCCCTGTAGAGTTGGAAGGGGCTCTGAGGATCACTGCAATGCACTGCAATGCACGAATATGCAGCTGGATCGAACCTGCAACCTTAGCGCTATTTGCACCACGTTCTAACCAAGTGAGCTATCCAAGCCACAGGTGATATTTCTCATTCGAGCACTGCACACCATTCTGCCTTCCTTTGCTCCAAGCCTCTTCAGGTGTGTTGCTGCCTACATTGCCTGTGCAATTGTGGAGGGTTTCCCCAAGGGCTTGCCCCACCCTGAGCCATGCAAAGCCTGCCATTGAGCTCATCCCCATCTCCTCTGCTCTGCCTGTGCGTGATTCACTCTCGCTCATTGCTATGCATTCCTGGGGCATTGCGAAGCTAGCCGCGCAATCGGCTGGCACAGTGAGGCAGAAAGCAGCACAGTCATTGAGAATGGAAATCCCGAGCAGATTCCAAGCTGGCTCTTGAAGCTCATTACTTCAGTGGCGCCCACAAATCCGCCTTCATGTTTCATTATTTTAATGCAAAGTTGCAGAACCCTTTGGAAGAATGGCTTTGATACCGTACAGAAATCTGCCTCGGTTTGCTGTGCGAAGTGGGTCTCTGCTTTCTCTACATTGGCTGCTGCTCGCATGGGATGGGAATGTGCCTGAGCGCAGGGATGTCACATTACACATCTATACTAACTAAATTTCACAGCTCAAGCACCCTCAATCACTTTCGATTTCAGCCGAGGACATTATGAAACAGATGGACGTGCGCCAAATCAGACAGAAGGGACAAAAATGAAATGTTCTTCTCCCGGTTAGCAAGGACTAGCGAATGAGCATCTGTACACATGGTCAGATTGACGGGAAAATAAAAAATGGGTAAAAGGGGAAGGAAAGAGAAGAGGATGGAAGTTCCTGGGACTGTGAAATGTTCGATCAAGTGGTCACTGGTGGAAAGAAGAGCTGAGGCTGAGCCTCAACAAACCATACATTTACAGCACATGCCACACATGTTTCAAGCACATGACTCTTCCCTCAAGGAATTCTGGGAGCTGTAGTTTCCCCCTCACAGAGATAAACTTCCCAGCACCCTTAACTGACTAGTGTTACCATGAGCCTGTTTCTAGTCCACAAGTGTCCTCCCAACCCCATTTCTCAGTCAGCCTGCACAAAACTTTACATTCAATCTCTAAATGTGTTTTCTCCCAAAATACGCATTTGAGCGTGCATTTCGATGCAGTTAAACCGCTGAGGAAGGCAGCACTCAGGGGGGAAAAAGTGAAATCAGACAGAATGTTAAGTTCTGATCCACACGTTAGTCAGAAAACATAGGAACCCCGGAAGCTGTCTTATACCAAGTTAGACAATTGGTCCATCTCGCTCAGCATTGTCTGCACTGATTGGCTCTCCGGGGTTTCAGGCAGGGTGGAGGGAACCTTCCCAGTCCTACCTGAAAACGCCGGGATTTGAACCAGGGATCTTCTATATGGAAAGCGGTTGCTCTATCACTGAGCTGCAACCTTCCCCCAGAGAGGCAAGGATCTGGTCAGATGTTATTGGAATTCACAATGATGCAATTCATAGAACCATAGAACTGGAAGGGATCCAAGGGTCATCTGGTCCAACCTAGGGTTACCAGATGTCCCCGGATTTGCAATTCTGTTCCCGGACATATTCCGTCCACGGAATGTCCCCAGATTTGCAAATCTGTCCCTGGAAAACGTGGCAGTGGCAGCCTCAGCAGCCCGGAGCCAGCCTGGTAGCGCAGTTGCCGGAAGTCCCCATATGATGTGTTGCGCACAAGACACATCATATGGGGACTTCTGGGAGGCAAACTGGTGGGCACCACGGCAGCGAGCAGCAAGCAGCTCCTGATGCCAGCCAGAGCCAACTGCGCTACCAGGCTGGCTCCGGGCTGCTGACTGCCGCTGCTGCTGCCGCTGCTGAAGGGGAACTGGGGACGTCTGGTGGTACAGATCTCCTGCCCCCTTCCCCCTTTGTTTTGACTGATCAGAGGAGGCTCGGGAGTTGTGGGCGGGTGGGCATTGCCCAGTTTTTTAAAAACTCTGCGCATTTATGTTTCACAGGGTGTGAAAGAAGGGCTATGCACCTTTATACAATATGCATGTGTATTTGGGCCCAGGATCTTTTGCCTCACCATCCCCACTACTGACTCCCTGTTGTTACTCAGCTTCGGGGGGGGGGGAGTGTTCCCAGATTCATTGAAAAAAATCTGGTAACCATAGTCCAACCCTCTGCAATGCAGGAATCTCAGCTAAGGCATCCATAATTCCCCAAAGTTCTCTAGTCCTGTGCCCTTTGGACTATTCTCTCTGCCCTTAGTTGTCTTCCCAGCACAGCATCATGCCTGCCTAAAATGCCAGCAATAACTAGTATGGTTTGCTTGCATGCCCAAGGTAGGAAGCAGATGCTCCTTTTATTGGCAGTGATGTAGGTTAACAACTTTCAGCATAACTCCCCAGGAAACTGGAAGGCGATTTCCATACGGATGGGAGTGGGTTGCTGTTGCCGTTTTAAAGTTACCGTACCTTAACGAAAGAGCTGCCAGCCACCTCCATTGAAACTGCCGAATGCTGCCTGTTTTTCTGCTGGTCTCTATGCCCACCCCAGGACGCGGGTGACCACAGAGCCTAGGACTTGTCAATCAGAAGGTCGGTGGTTCGAATCCCGGCGATGGGGTGAATTCCCGTTGCTCGGTCCCTGCTCCTGCCAACCTCGCAGTTCGGAAGCACGTCAAAGTGCAAGTAGATAAATAGGTACCTCTCTGGCGGGAAGGTAAACGGCGTTTCCGTGTGCTGCTCTGGTTCACCAGAAGCAGCTTAGTCATGCTGGCCACATGACCCAGAAGCTGTACGCCGGCTCCCTTGGCCAATAAAGCGAGATGAGCAGCGCAACCCCAGAGTCGGTCATGACTGGACCTAATGGTCAGGGGTCCCTTTACCTTTACCTTTATGCCCACCCCACCTCCCGCGCACACAAAGAATAAACCTTAACAACTTACATTTGGAGTTCACATCAGTCAGGAGGAGAGCATCTCAAGCTGCTGTTCCCAGATACTCGTTGTCTGAGACGCTTATCTTAAACATCAACCTGGGGAATGATATATTAGACTGAATTTAACATCAATTGGCAAAGCTGCAGTCAAAGGCAACCAATGTAGATTATCAGCATGGTATGTGTGAATGAGCATCAGCAAATGGTTTTTTGCTTTTGTTTTTAATACCGTAAATCTTCAGTCAGGCAATCCAATTTCAGCACCAACCCAATACCTGTAGGTTATACAAAAAAACTGTATAAATTATGCAAATTGGGTAAAATCGAATATTATCCAATCACTCAGCCATGCTCTCTGTCAGGATACTCTAAACAGGTAATAAAAATAGATGGTATCATCGATGATCACTTTTTGATGCTGTGTTGCAAACAGTGCATGGGAAGAAGTCCTTACACTAAAGAGATGGTTTCACTGGATACAACCCCCTGGCTTCCAAGTCTGGCTTTGGCCAACTCCATCTGCATCTCTAGACTTGACATGGCAATTACTCTTTTTCTTCAGACCCCTATGAAAAAGGAAGGGGGGGTGCAGAACAAAAGGACGCCTGAGTGGTGCTTAATCATTTGAAAGCTCCGCTCAGACCTGCTGAGTGTTAACTATTAAGGGGAGAGGTTAATTGGAGGTGTAATTAGAAGGAGGTTTTTAGTCATCATCATATATATTTTTTACATCCCACATTCTTATGAGGAACTTAAAAAGACACTATTGGTGCAATCCTCACCATGTCTACTCAGATAAATCCTGTTGAATTCCATGGGGCTTATTCCCAGGTGAGAGGCATTAGGATTAAATCTGTAGGAAAGCATACAGATACAGAAAAGCAGCAATTGGAGCCAGACTGATTCAGCCCTGCATGGGGCATGCTCCATCATCCAAATGTCTTTTCAATTTGATAGCACCAGTGACTCAAAGCCATTACCATTAATAAAGAATGGGCAGCTTGTGTCATCCTAATGAATCAACTCGGAGATATATTATTGCTTATTGCACTATCCCTGTAGCCAGGAAGCTCTTCAGATTAATGCAGTGGGGCTAAACCATCTGTTTTGCGAACTTCCGTGTAAGATACAGCTGAAAATCTCTAGGCGCACAAAAAAGGAAAGGGCATCTGTGTCTCTGGGGATGAGCCCAGGAAAGTTCATTATACCTTCAAGGGAGGGAAAGTCACTGTGTGTGTGTGTGTGTGTGTGTGTGTGTGTGTGTGTGTTCACAAGCTGCCCACCATTGTGCCACACAGCTTCACCCTTCCACTGGAGTGAATGGTCATGCAGATCTACTCTTTTTAAACAAAAAATTATTGATACAGCAAGAAAAAAGAAAAAAACACAAATACCAAATTAAACACCACAGGAACCATAGACACATAATTTTCTTAACAAACAATAAAACATAAATTGGTCTTAACACTAAAGACCCAACCTCCCATCTATTCCATATTTCGATTTCATATTACTTATTACCGATACACACTTTTATCATAATTAAACTTTCTCTTAATATATCTAATTTCTTATATCTACCTTGAAACTATTACTGAAGTTCCTCGAATGCTGCAACAGATTTTAAACTACTATATTTATGTTTCAAATATTCTTAGAAAACCTCCCATTTTGAGACAAATTCCTGTTTTGATTTATTCTTTATTTTTTCTGATAGACCGTCTAGTTTGGCATATTCTGTCAGCTTTTGGATCCAGTCTTGTATAGAGGCGATTTCATTACTCTTCCATTTTGCCGCAATCAGAACTCTTGATGCAGCTCTACTGTCAGTCACTGGGAGGATGCTGTGGTGTCAGGTCTTGGATATGAGCAATGCATTGTGGGTCTGACCTCCCCACAGCTACCAGGGTCTGACTCCCAACCAAACGTTACCTCCATGCCCTTTTCTTTCAGCTGTCAAAGTTTATATTGTTATGAAACTGGGGTTGGGCCAAGTGATCCCTTGGTTTCCCCCACCCTCAACCCTGTGTTTCTGTGATTGTAAAAAGAGACCGCAAAGATAATTAGTAAATGTCTTGAACAAGTTTAGCCTCTTAGATTCCCTCTTGTAATGGAGATTAGCTGGTGGATGTCCTTAAC